CCCAAGCTGGGATAGTGGGGTCTGGGGGCTCCCAGAATCTGGGACAGTTGGAAGTGATGTGATTGTTTCAAAAATGTATTTTGAAAAAGTACATGCAAATTAAAAAGAAGCTATATAAAATAACTTTAAAATGTACTTAAATACAGGTACTAAGTACAACATAATAAGTAGAGTGCTTCAGAGTACTTACGTATTTAAGTACATGGGAACACTGGAAATGAAACACCAAAAAACATAATGAAAACCTAGAAAAAATTGTTTTGAGTCAAACAAAACATTTAGTTCAAACTGAAGCAAAGCTTGTTGTTTGCTAGGTTAAAAAGGACAGTTTTCGTTTGACTGAACCATTTTTTATTTTTCTGGGGGTTTTTTTTTGTTTGGAAGCCAAATTAATAAGTCAATTATTTGCTCAGTTCTAGTGTTGATTACCTTCTGTTCAAAATGGGTCATTAAAGTTTCCTCCCTCCCCAACAAAAAGTCAATAAATTCAGCTTTAAAACCTCCCACAAAGTTTAAAAACTGTTACAGAAAAGAGGGTTTTCATTTTTTGTCAACACCTTATATGGGGTTCATGTTAAATATGCCTAGACACGCACTAACAAGAATCAGAGGGGTAGCCATGTTAGTCTGTATCAGCAACGAGGAGTCCTTGTGGCACCTTAGTAACTTTAGTCTTTAAGGTGCCACAAGGACTCCTCGTTGTTTTTACTAAGAATGTTGCCTCTGAGCACTTCTGAACGTAGCTAGTGTTGCTCTGCTTATAACCTAGAAGATGAACCAAGTTTGAACGGATGGCAAATTATGTAATCAGCTTGATCACCTCTAACATCTTGGCATTTTCATTTAAAACTCCTGAAAAATTAGAATAAGCATGTTCGGTTTGAAAAATATTAGACCTTGCTTCTGTATCTAATTTCCCCCCCACTATTAGAGATAAGACTATACATGAGTCACTTCTGTAATCAGATCCTCACCAAGATCTGTATGTATATATTTCTGCTTTACTTTCATATTCAGGAGAAACTAATGGAAAGTAGATGGCTTAGTAATGTATATCAGTGTCCCCATTCTAGCAATGTGGTTCATCCAGGCTGATTAGGCTTGAATCAAACAATATTGAAGGGGCACTATCAACTTTTAAGTCACACGTCTGCCTGACATTTCTCTTACTTGCCGTTGTTACAAGCAGCAACTATAAAGACTAAGCGACTAGATTTTTTCTTCCAGTTTGCTTGCTTAGTGCATCTGACAGTATTTTGTGCGTAGTCAGTTTCATTAACTATATGGGGGAAATGGTCTCCAATATAACAGGAGAGAGAGAGAGAGAGAGAGAAACATCTTAAAGGAAAATATGATTGTAAAAGAAAATTCAGAATGGGGCCTTGGGCATACGAAATAGCTTTTAACTTATTTTTTCCAAAGTGACTAGAGTAAATATAATTACTACAGATCCAAGCCTGCAGTCATTACCTGGGTAGAACTTCCATTAATTCGATTTCCACCACCCTTTCCTGCCCCCTCCTTGCCCGTTCTCCCCAAGATCTTCAGAATTGGGCCTTATTTTTTAAAAACCAGAAATATGTATTAATCATTGCTTTAATAAATGTGAATTGATCTAGAATTGAAAACTCATCTGATCAGTAAATGAGAAACTGATAAGACTCCCCAAAAGATCTGCTGTCCAGGTTTGTAGCAACTTGTATTCTTTATCTTGCACCACGACTCCTCAACCTACCTTTTCTGTTGATTATCCACGATAAAGTTCCAGGTTACAAACATTTTTTTTATAATGTATTTTAATATGTGAGATACCCTTGCTTCAAATCTCTTAACCTTCAGGTTAAGAAATGTTTTAGACATTTGCTTGTATATTCTTGCAATAGGCAGCTGGGACACTACTGTACTTTGCTAAGCAATAAAAAAGGTGTCACATGACTAAAATCAGGAAAGTGACACCTGTTTTGTAATAAAGTATGGACACATGTTGCATCCTTCCTCTGGAAAAACAGGCGCACACAGCGAGTTCACACATGTCACTAGCACTAGCTGCTGCTGAATGGTATTGTTCCTGTCACTGTAACCAAGGTTCTAATTCCCAATTAAAATGTATTGGTCTTCTAATTATACAGACAATAAGGGGCTGACCCTGCAAGCCAGCAGGAAGCATGTGCACATACACACTGCAGAGATTGTGCAAACGCTGTGCTGTGTGAAGTGGAGGATGAGTGGGGATGCCAGGGTAAACCTCCTGTTGCCCATAATGTCTGCCAAACTTGAGCACACATCAGACATTTGGGGATTTTTTTTTTAAAGTAGCAATTACTTCTCCTTAGCTGGAGGGCTAACTGGAGATTTGCTGCTTAGCCCGCTGCTGGTAAGCAGGACAGGCAGCCATCCGCTGTAGATGTCCTGCAGTCAGAGTATCCCCCACTTTGAGCTGAACAAAGTTTTATCCCTAAACGTCATTAAATGTGGGGGGTGATACTAAGCACATCATGTTAGTTCCATTTTTAAAAAACATACAGCTGCCTCGCAGCGTATATTCTTATAGGTCGAAGTGTGGGTCTTTAGGGAGGGATCTGAAGGAGCACAGGGTAGTCCGCTGGGTTTCAGCCTCAGGAGGACTTCTCAAGGATAGGAAGTGGCCCAGGAGAAAAGCAAACCCATGATAGAAGTGGGCCTATGGCAACAAGGCTGGCACCACTGGCTCAGTGAACCTTGTATTTATTTTATTCCAGCATAGCGTCATGAATGGATCTGAAAGATTCGTTATTAATAAGACTTGAAAGCCCTGATTTATACAGTATATTTATTTCTCATGGTAGACTGTATGATTAATGTATAATTCCTGAAGCTTCTTATACTTCACTCAGTCATGAAAATTAATATATATAAAACGAAACCAAAACTTCTGGAACATTAGTTCCATTCAAATAAAGTATAAGATTCAGTAAATCTAATATTTGAATTCAACAATGTGACACCAGAAGCTTCTGTATTTTATAAAGCTAGTATCTTTTTGTTTTTACAAGGGTTTGTAACAGTTAAAATAGTCTTAGAAATCACAAGGTACACAATATTTGGAATATAAATTTTTTTAATTGGATTTAAAAAGATTTTACAGTGTAGTAACGCTCTTTAGTGAGAAGACAATGAACAATTTATGGTAAAAAATCTCTTATAAAAAGCAAACTTGGAGCTATTTCTACAATATGAATTAATGTTGAAATTTGAGTTATCAGTTTGTATAGTTCAAATGGTTCTGCATAAACACGTTCATGCTTTATCATTCCACTTGTGTATATATCATTTATAAAATCATAAATTCTAAAATTTTTAGAACCACTCATTCATACCCATTCTATTAATTTCTCATGTTTACGGAAAACCGTTCTTTTCAAATCTCTCTTGGCTCTTCCAAATATCACCCCCACAATTAAATGAACCACCTCATATTTTTTTTGGCTCACTCTAATATTTGGGGCAAAACCAACAGAACCATCCAGTGCTTATCATACTCTCCGCTCTTTCTGCTGAGCTACCATAACCTGAACTGACATACTTAAATGATATAAGTAACATTGGAATACCCTTCCTTCCGCAACAAACTGTAAGGGGAGCACCACTAAAGCATTAACTAGCAGTAAGGACAAAGAAATCTCAACACATTTGGGGCCAGATTTTTAAGTGTCTAAAGCTATATATAGGCACTTTTGAAAATTCTACTAGGTGCCTAACTACTATTGAAATCAATGGAAGTTAGGCACCTAGATGCTTTTGAAACTCAAACCTAAATATCTTTATAAATCTGGTCCTTAGCCTTAGTGAAGGACATTAGCTGCCAAATCTGAGGTGGCGTTTTGAAAACCAGACTATTAAAACAATATCCAACTATGTAAGGCCACTTGGAGGCTCTATATCAGGGGTGGGCACACTTTTTGGCCCGAGGGTCACATTGGGGTTACAAAACTGTATGGAGGGCCGGGTAACGAAGGTTGTACCTCCCCAAACAGCCTGGCCCCCCCTGACGGCCCCCCCTCAAACCCCTGACCTATCCAACGTCCCCCGCTCCTTGTCCCCTCCCAGACCCCACCCCCTATCCAACCTCCCCTGCTCCCCGTCCCGACTGCCCCGACTCTTATCCACCCCACCACCCCGACAGGACCCCCAGGACTCCCACGCCAACCCCCTGTTCCCCATCCCCTGACCCACCCCCGAACCTCCGCCCCATCCAACTGCCCCCTGTTCCCAGCCCCTGCTTGCCCCAACCCCTATTCACACCCCCATCCCTAACCACTCCCCGGGACCCTGTCCCCTATCCAACCCCCTCTGCCCCCTGGTATCCCCTGCCCTTTATCCAACCTCCCCCCCACCCACCCCCTTACCACGCTGCTCAGAGCAGCAGGAGATTGCAGCCCCGCTCCCTGGCTGGAGCCAGCCACGCCACCCGGTAGGAGTGGCACACTGAGGCTGCATGGGAGGGGCCGGGGGTAGCCTCCCCAGGCGGGAGCTCAGGGGCCAGGCAGGACGGGCCTGCGGGCCATAGGTTTAGAGCAGAGGTGGGCAAACTTTCTTAAACCATGAAAGCTATATAATGGGTTGTTTGGATAAACTGATTCCTGCTGAGGCATCTATGGCTGTGTAGGAGGCAGCCTATACCTTGGTTTTCCTGTCTGCCTATTTATAAAAATATTTCCTTGTATTAAGCACAACTTTGAAATGTCACCCTAATTAATTATTCAATTTGTGCTGTCGGTAGCCAGAATAGTCCTGACAAATGTCAGAATCTCCTCAGCCTCCCTAACATGTAGTGTGGAGCATCTCCATGGAAAAGCTGACCGTTAAAATTAAGTAATAAACTACCTGACAGGCTTTCGGAGACTTCACCGAAACTAACTCAGGGGTACAGAGGGGCACGTCTCTCACATATCTAAATCTCTCTACTATCCTCTTATAGAAATGACATTTCTATATGTACAAGAGAGATGATGTATTCTGTCTCTACAATATTGTAAGTGTTTTTTATGGACATTCATAAATCTCCATTTGTCTAGGAGTCGGCTGTTTTCTAAAGAGGATATGCTCTTACAGGGAACTCTCAATAGCCAATTTAATTGCGATTAAATGCCAAAAGCAATGGTAAAATGATTCTTCTATATTTAGTTTCTCTTTATGGCTTTCCTATTATATTTTCTTAGTTTACAGGCTTTTCTAACCTCCACTCCTGCAGACCCAAATTGTGAGTCTTGTCTCTCTTACAGCACCCACAATGGTGGTTTGCTAGGCAGAGAAGAATCCAGCTTGCTCTGATTGCTGGAGTGGTTCTGAAGATATTACAGAAGTAAAGGCTAGGGATGGGAGATGACATCAACTGGAAGGAAGCAGAAATAGGGTGAGATCCAAAACTCACTGAAGTCAATGAAAGTCTTCTCTCTGACTTCAAAGGGCTTTGGATTAGCCCATACTGAATACGAACATGCCACATTTACTTTGTCACTTTCTGGAGGATTATCAAGAACTTAATAGAGAACATTAAGTATAATGGTTTTGAGATGCATCTTGCTGGCCAAGCTAGAACAGAAGGGTGGACTAGAGTTGAGTTTGTCATCCAGAAGCCAGTGCTTCTACTCATGGATATGCTTACTTAACTATAAAAGTCTGATCCAGGAATAGAGCAGCTAATCCCCAGAATAGCTCTTTCCCATTACAAAATCAATAGCAATAGCATTACTTCTATTATTTTTCATATTATAATTGGTTTCATTTCCCTTCAAAGGTATAAATATCTCTGCATACCTTTCTGCTTTGTTATTTAGGATGGTAATGAGTTAAGACAACTATTTTAGTACATAATACACAACTGGGAATCATCTTCAGCCCGTGGTAGGCTTTTTTGTTTTTGCTGAGTTGGTGTTCCTATCTGTGAAATAAAACATGTGAATTAAAAAAACTGGAGACTTGTCAGTTAGAAAATGGCTAATTTTGCTTAATCAAATCCATCAGCTCTTTCTCTATTCCTTGGCTACTCAGATCATTTAAACTGCAGTATCTGTGAACAATCTTCTCAGCTGTGACAATGACCACTCTAAGCCCATGGGTATCTTCTCCCAGTTGACATCCAATTGCTGATGAAACCACCATCTCTAGATCCTTGTAGAACCCTCCAGCATTCCTATGGTAGTGTCCAGAAAATACAGCTTTAATGCCTGTTTAAAAATAATATATATCATAAATATAATAATCTATATTTAGTTAACACTTACAGCCTACAAAGAAAATGAGCTTAAAAACAGTCTGATCTCCTTTTTTAGGCTTATGCAGCCACTATAATTGAAGAGATATTTATGACTAAGAACAGCTACAACTTGTCGTGCTTACCCTTATTTTCTTAATTGACATTTTTTATCTAATGGATTCAGAAATTGTGAAATTAGTAGGGAATCAGTTACATGATATTACATTTAAGAAGAAAATAAATATTAGCAACATATTGATATTCAGACCAACTAACCTCCCAATCCCTTTAAAAATATTGGAGTCCCATATCTTTAAACTCAGATTCAAGCCAGCTATTTTCCCAATACTCCTTTGATCAGAAACAGTAAAAATGTGAAAGCATGGTGTTGTTGAAAGTCCTTTTGTAATTCTAAATCAAGCAATTAACCAGAGGATGGTGCATGTAGATAGGAGCGGAAAGTCAATTGTTGGATCCACACATTACCTTCCAATTAACATTTGGAGAACTAAAGGTAACAGGACCCTCAAACCTGTTTACTCAAAGGGATAATGATTATAAGAGTGAATGACTTTAAAACATAGGTCAGACAGGATGAGAAGGGAGACAAAGTGAGGAAGGTAATAGCTTTTATTGGGCCAACCTCTGTTGGTGAGAGACAAAAGTTTTTGAGCCTTCACAGAGTTCTTCAGATCTGGAAAATGTCTCAGCTAAATACAAGGTGGAACAGAGTTGTATAGTATACTAGTTACTACATATTTCAAGAGACTATTCACATGAAAGTGGCCCACTAACACCTCTCCAGTAATGGGGTGGGGTATTTAAGAGGGTTCTAAATTGGATTTATGGCTTAGCACAACAGTGTCGCTATTCAGTCCATTATTTTTAATGTCTAGCAAAGTTATGACTTTAAGCTCTTGTCTTTTTGAAGGTGTCATGCATGTTTCCTTTGAGGATGAGGACTGAGGTCATCTAAGAATGATCAGTTCGTGACAAGTATTCATCCACAAGTGATATGTTTTTTTCTGTGTGAATTCATTCAACAGTGTAGTGATTGCTGGGTTTAATCCACATTGTTGTTGTGGCCCTTAATGCATTTGATGTGGTGTACCACATGTTATGATGGGCATGTGCAGTACCCCTGGATATTGGGAAGTGTGTTATGTGGGGTATTGCAAATCATAGCATTGGAGAGATGTCTACAGGTTTTTGCATCTGTTGTTCTGACAGGGTCTGGTGCTGCTTTGAGTCCTTTTTGATGATGAGGCTGGGGAGTTGTTTAAAAGCCAGAAAGGGGAGGGGGATTCAGGAAAGATTTCTTTTAGGCTGTGGCCCCATTGAATATGGGTTATCATGGTTTGTTACTCCATATGGTTGGTAGGTGACAACTTAGGGGTGTGCAGGCAAAAGGGGGTTCATTTTTGTATCAAAGCAGGTTCTCCTGGAAGTATTTGGGTGGCCTGCTCTATGATGCAATCTACTTCTCTGGTGGAGTGCCCTTGTTTGGTGAAGGCAGTTTTAAGTGTGTTAAGATGTATATCCCAGACGCTCTCCTCGGAGCATATTCTGTGGAATCTGAGCGCCTGGCTGTAGATAAGATTTCTTGGTGTGTTTGGGGTGGTTACTGAATCTGTGAAGGTAGGTGTGGCAATCCGTGGGTTTGTTGTCTGTCAGGTTCTATTGTTGAACCTGATCATGGTGTCCTGGAAGTTGATGCTAGTGTGAGAGTGTTCTAGCGAGAGTTTAATGGAGGGCTGGTAATTGAAATTGTGGTGGAAATCTTTGAGAGTCTGTAGGTTAGCTGCCAAAGGATAAAAATATCATCAATGTAGCTCACGTATATGACTAATTTCAGGGTGCATTTATCCAGAAATTCTTCCTCAAAGTGGTCCATGAAAAGGTTGGTATACTGGGGAGACATCCTAGTAGCCTTGGCTGTTCCTATGGTGTGTATGTTTAATGTAAAATAGTCAGGGGTGAGGATGAAATGGACAAGTTTTGGGGTGGATATCTGAGCGTTGTACATTATCTTGTAAATGTTTGAGGCAGGCAGCCATCATTGTGCGGGATGTTGGTGTATAGGCAGCTGACATCCATGGTGGCAAGGATGGTGTTCTGAGGGAACCTGATAATTTTGTGGAGTTTCTGGAGGAAGCTGGCCCTTTGTGTGGTGAATGGTTTGAGGATGATTTTTCTGAGTCCCAATATTCCTTCAGTAACACTGCTGTGGTCAGATATGATGGGTCTGCCTAGGTGGCTCCCTTATTTGTGTATTACAGGATGAGAAGACAGACGTCCTGTGCAGAGGTATTGGGAGATATCCTTCATAAAGGGCTGTGTCTGGAATATAAATAAGCAAGGCACATCAAAGAAACCTGAAACGTGTAAGAGGCCTCTAAGTTAGATGAGAGGGGAAGGAAGATGAAAACTACCTGGAGTGGAGGGGCTGACAAGCTGCAAAGAGAAAGAGGTACTATAATAACGTGAATTAACTCTTGCAGAGTATGTTACACAATGATTTTGTTTGTAATCTAATTTTTCTCTGTATACTTAATTAATCTTGTTTTTAAATTACGCCATTTGTATTTTAAACCATATTGAGGTAACATCACTATGGCCTTGAAAAGAAGAAATACTTTTGACTCAATCTCTTGCTAGAGACAACTGGGGAGAAAATTGTGCCTTATCCTCAAGAACTCTGTTCAGGTAATCCCCTAATGCAGGGATTGGCAACCCTTGGCCCGCGGCCTGCCAGGGTAATACCCCTGGCGGGCCGGTTTGTTTCCCTGCCGCGTCCGCAGGTTCGGCCAGTCGTGCCTCCCACTGGCCGCGGTTTGCCGCTCCAGGCCAATGGGGGCTTGGGAAAGGGCCGCGGGCCGAGGGATGTGCTGCCCGCCGCTTCCCGCCGCCCCATTGGCCTGGAGCGGCAAACCGCGGCCAGTGGGAGGCACGACTGGCCGAACCTGCGGACGCGGCAGGTAAACAAACCGGCCCGCCAGGGGGATTACCCTGGTGGGCCGCATGCCAAAAGTTGCTGATCCCTGCCCTAAAGTGTGACCCAAATACTAGCTCTAGGCAGCAGGGATTTGGGGAAAGCTCACGGACATAAATGGTGGCAGGAAGAGGAAGCAAACAAATATTTTATACTTCATAAAAATTACGTGCTTTGAGATCTTGGGATGAAAAATGCTTTAACAGATTGTAGAGCTGATCAGAAAAATTCTAATAAGCAATTAAAAAAATTAATCGTGATTAACTGCACTGTTAAATAATAGAATGCAACTTATTTAAATATTTTTGGATGTTTTCTACATTTTCAAATATATTGATTTAAATTACAACACAGAATACAGTGTACAGTGCGCTTACTTTATATTTATTTTTATTACAAATATTTGCATTGTAAAAAGCAAAAGAAATAGTATATTTCAATTCACCTAATATAAGTACTGTAGTGCAATCTCTTTATCATGAAAGTTGAACTTACAAATGTAGAGTTATGTACAAAAAATAACTGCATTCAAAAATAAAACAATGTAAAACTTTAGAGTCTACAAGTCCACTCGGACCTACTTCAGCCAATCGCTCAGACAATTAAGTTTATTTCCTGCAAATGTAATCAATGCTGCCCGATTCTTGTTTATGTCACCTGAAAGTGAGAACAGGTGTTCGCATGGCACTGTTGTAACCAGCGTCACAAGATATTTACGTGGCAGATGCGCTAAAGATTCATATGTCCCTTCATGCTTCAACCACCATTCCAGAGGACATGCGTCCATGCTGATTACGGGTTCTGCTCTATAACGATCCAAAGCAGAGCAGACTGACATGTTCATTTTCATCATCTGAGTCAGATGCCACCAGCAGAAGATTGATTTTCTTCTTTGGTGGTTCAGGTTCTGTAGTTTCTGCAGCGAAATGATGCTCTTTTAAGACTTCTGAAAGCATGCTCCACACCTCGTCCCTCTCAGATTTTGGAAGGCATTTCAGATTCTTAAACCTTGGGTCGAATGCGGTAGCTATTTTTAGAAATCTCACATTGGTACCTTCTTTGCGTTTTGTCAAATCTGCAGTGCCAGTATTTGTAAATCAAACAACATGGGCTGGGTCATCATCCGAGACTGCTATAACATGAAATATATGGCAGAATGCGGGTAAAACAGAACAGGAGACATACAATTCTCCCCCAAAGAGTTCAGTCACAAATTTAATTAACGCACCAGTTTTTTTAAATGATCATCATCAGCATGGTAGCATGTCCTCCGGAATGGTGGCTGATGCATGAAGGGGCATACGAATGTTTGGCATATCTGGCATGTAAATACTTTGCAATGCAGGCTACAAAAGTGCCATGTGAATGCCTGTTCGCACTTTCAGGTGACATAAGAAGCAGGCAGCATTATCTCCCGTAACTGTAAACAAACTTATTTGTCTTAGTGATTGGCTTACCAAGAAGTAGGACTGAGTGGACTTGTAGACTCTAAAGCAGGGGTAGGCAACCTATGGCACGCGTGCCAAAGGCAGCACGTGAGCTGATATTCAGTGGCACTCACACTGCCTGGGTCCTGGCCACCGGTCCGGGGGGCTCTGCTTTTAATTTAATTTTAAATGAAGCTTCTTAAACATGTTAAAAACCTTATTTACTTTACATACAACAATAGTTTAGTTATATATTATAGACTTATAGAAAGAGACCTTCTAAAAATGTTAAAATGTATTACTGGCACGCGAAACCTTAAATTAGAGTGAATAAAGAAAGACTCGGCACACCACTTCTGAAAAGTTGCCAACCCCTGCTCTAAAGTTTTACACTGTTTTGTATTTGAGTCCATGAAACAAAAAAAAATAAATCTACATTTGTAAGTTACACTTTCACAATAGAGATTGTACTACAGTACTTGTATGAGGTGAATTGAAAAATACTATTTCTTTATCATTTTTACAGTGCAAATAAAAACGAATATAAAGTGC